TCTGCCTGGACCCGGGGGGAGTGACTCCTTTGCAATTCATCTGTGCAATGAGTTCTGCCTCCCCTCAGCCAGCTAAAGCTGAGAGGGGTGAGACACTGTCTGCTGGGGGAGAAGGGGCTGTCATCACTGTCGTGCCCCCCCTGCTGGGGAGGGTCTGGGGGAGCTGAGGGGGGGCTGGGGCCAGCGCAGCCATTCTGGGGTGGTCTGGCTCTTACCCGGAGCCCAGCGATGCTGGGGGGTGCACAGGGCGGCGCAGGGGACACTTGCCCACCCAAAAGCCCCGTGTGGGGTGGGAGCAGCACGCACGGCCACTGCACGGCGGTGACTTCCACGTCCCAACCCCCGATTTCCTCTCCTGCCCCCCCGGCCAGGACTGCGAAGGCTTCGAGAAATGCTGCACCAACGTGTGCGGGCTGCGGAGCTGCGTGGCCGCCCGCTTTGCCGACGGCTGGCCGACGGCAGCCTGCCGGCGCTGGCGCTGGCGCCGGCAGCCTCGTGTGAGAGCTTCGTGTGCGCGCAGCAGGGCTCCGACTGCGACATCTGGGACGGGCAGCCCGTCTGCAAGTGCAAGGACCGCTGCGAGAAGGAGCCAAACTTCACCTGCGCCTCCGACGGCCTCACCTACTACAACAATTGCTCCAGGGACGCCGAGGCGTCCCTGCGCGCCACCCGCCTCACCACCGTCCCCTGCAAGCACATCTTCACCTGGCCTGACACCAGCCCCGTGCCGCAGGAGACGACGGCGCGCCCCACGCCGGGAGCCGGCCCCGAGGTGCCGGTGCCCCCTGCCCTCTACAGCAACCCCTTCCACCAGTCGGTGCGTGCCGGCGGCACCGTCAGCTTCCGCTGCGACGTCAGCGGGCGCCCGCGGCCGGACATCACCTGGGAGAAGCAGAGCGAGCGGGAGGAGAACTTCATCATGCGGCCGGACCAGATGTACGGCAATGTGGTGGTCACCAACATCGGCCAGCTGGTCATCTACAACGCCCGCCACGAGGACGCCGGCATCTACACCTGCACAGCCAGGAACGCTGCTGGGCTGCTCCGCGCCGACTTCCCACTGTCGGTGGTCAGGCGGGAGCCGGGGGGGACTCCGCAGGCTGGCAGCCCCCAGCCCTTCCCCAGCGCCGAGTGCCTGAAGGAGCCGGACCGGCGGCGGTGCGAGGCCCTGGAGGTGCGCTGGCACTTCGACGCCAAGCAGGGCTCCTGTCTCACCTTCCGCTACGGGGGCTGCGGGGCCAACAGGAACCATTTCGAGACCTACGAGGAGTGCCGGGCTGCCTGCTTGGGCAGCGCCCGCCCCACCTGCCTGCTGCCCATGGTGCAGGGCCCCTGCCAGAACTGGGAACCCCGCTGGGCGTACAACCACCTGCTGAAGCAGTGCCACTCCTTCGTCTACGGCGGCTGTGAGGGCAACACCAACAACTTCGAGAGCAAGGAGACCTGCGAGGACGTCTGCCCCTTCCCCAAGAGCCTGCAGTGCAAGGCTTGCCGCCTGAAGAGCAAGATGGTGCTGAGCCTCTGCCGCAGCGACTTCGCCATCGTGGGCCGGCTGATGGAGATCGTGGAGGACCAGGACTCCGGCATCGCCCGCTTCGCCCTCGAGGATGTCCTCAAGGATGAGAAGATGGGCCTCAAGTTCTTCAACATCAAGTACCTGGAGGTGACCTTGACTGACATGGACTGGAGCTGCCCCTGCCCCAACATGACGGCGGAGGACGGGCCGCTCATCATCATGGGTGAGGTGCACGACGGCATGGCCACGCTGGACCCCAGCAGCTACGTCCGGGCGGCCAACGACAAGCGGGTGAAGAAGATCTACGAGCTGATGGAGAAGAAAACCTGCGACCTCCTGAACCGCTTTCAGGACTAGGAGAGAGCCGGGACGTGCCGACGTGGGGGGGCCACCGTCGTGTAGTTCCCTACCAACCCCATGCTGAGCCCCAGCCCAGCTCCCACCTCCCCTGTAATTTATCTGCCGTATGTCCCCCCCCCAGCCCGGCCAGCAGCAATAAAGGACTGGATTGGGTTGCAGAGGGGTGGGAGGGGGGGGGGGGGGCCTGCCAGGAACACACACACCCCCCCCCGCCCAAAAAAAAAAAAAAACCCTTCCCATCGCACCGAAGCCTCCAGGCCCAGGTGCCCTGGGTGTTCCCGGTGCAGGATCTGACCCCCCCCCATTGGCGCTGCAGCAGGGGGATTGGGGATGCTCTCCCCAGCCCACAGTGTCAGTGCTGAAAGCATCAGGGAGCTGCTGGGGGGGGTGGCAAAGCCCTGGAGTTTATTGGTGGGAGGGATGGGGTCCTTGGGGTGGGGAAAGGGGGACAGGCCCCCCCGCCATTGGCACGGCGTCCTCCGGGGAAACCGGCACTGAGCAAGAGGTCTCCCCCGCGCCCAGGGGTGCTGTGCCCCCCCATGCCTATGCCCCCTGTGGCAGCTGCGGCAGCTCCTCTGGGCCAGGCTGGGGCGCCCCATTGCAAAGGGAGCCCCAGAGGGGCCAGGGGAGATGGATCCCCCCCCCCAGCCCACCAGCCAAGCCCAGCCCAGGCTGGGGCAAGTAGGGCACCGTCCCATCGCTGCTGTCCCCAGCCGTGGCTGGCACCGGTGCGGGGATGGGGTGACCCCTCGAGGAGGCAGAGGTAATAGGGGGGGGGGGCGGCCGTGCCGGGAGATGCCGGGAGGTGCTGGAAGGTGGGGGCAGGTTACTGCTTGCGGAAGATGAGACTTTTGTTGTTGGCCGGCATGTCCACCTGGAAGCACAGAGCCGGGGGTCAGGGTGGGGGTCCCCACTGGTGCGGGGACTGTCCCCCCCCGGCAGACCCCAGCACCTACCATCCTCTCCAGGTGCAGCCCGTTGGCCTCAGCCAGCTGCCGCAGCAGCGCCGTGTCCCGAAGGCCCCAGGTGGGATTGCTGCCGGGGAGGGAGGCGTGGGTCAGACAGACGGACATCTCACCCCTGCGCTCCCTGAAGCATCCCCATCTCCCGGGGGTGCCCCCAGGTGGGGGGGGCTCCCCCCGGTCGATGCTTTAGGTCTTGTCTTGAAGGACCACGCTGGGAGGGAGCTCCTTGCGGCTGCAGGCAGCACAGGCAGGGCAGGCAGCATGGGCAGGACGGGCCATGAGCAGCCCTGGGCCCCCCCGACCCCCCCTTCCTACCTCTGCCTCAGGCTGCGGTCAAAGTCCACGTTGCTCTGGGGGCTGATCCGGCCATCCACGGCGTAGGGCTGCCAGGACACGAAGCCAGAGCTGCAGGCACGAGCCATCATGTGTGTCCCCTGAGCTCCCCCCGCAGCCCATGGGCTGCTGTCCCCACCACACACAGAAGCCAAGCCAGAAGGGACATGGCCCCTGAGAGGGACCACGGGTCCCATCACCCACCGCGGGCCCCCCCAGACCCTGCCCCACATTCGG